ATCAAGAAATCATAACTCAAGCTCATTGCTGTTAATTTGAAACAGACTGATAGCTGATCCTTCAATGGGTTTTCAGAAATTATCAATAAAGCAGAGATTTCTGCCTTCCTATCTCTTGAGGAGCTGTGGTAAATTTAAACCACCCAAATGTCACTTCCTTTAGGTTGGCAGCTCAGTATTTCCATGGACTACACTGTCAGAGCTCACAAAATCATAAACAAAACCCATTTTATTATAAATTAACAATGACATGACTTGAGGGGAACAATGATAAAAATCTATGTCCAGTGCGATTGGCACAGGACAGAGCAGAGTTTAGGACTGTTGTACATAGGGTCGCTATGAGTCGCAAGCGACTCGACGGCACATAACAACAACAACAACAATCCTCAGTGAAGGAGACACTGAAGCTCCTATATGCCCAGGCATGACAACATGTGATACATGATATATGACACAATATATGTTGTTGTTGTTGATTGTCATAAAGTCAGGAGCTACTCATAGAGATTCTATGAACAAAAGACCTAATGCCTTTCCATAACTATTGTCACTTCTCCAAATTCATAGGGTTTCATAGGAAATGGATGTTATTCCTGCTTCCAAACCTGTTTTACACCTGGGAGCTCGACCAAACACTGCCCAGATTAGGAAACTATTCTGGTATTTGATACCCCAATGACACGAAGTTCAACATCACAGCAAACCCAGGTTAATTCATACATCACATTGACAAACAGTGATGTACAAAATGGAAGAGTGTTCCTCCAGATATAACAACACTTTATGATATGTGATACTATGTATGATACAGTGCATATCTTATATCTATCCAACTAATAATGTGTGATTAGAATGCAAAAGTTGGGGACAGGGAAGAAGGATCAGTAGCTGGAAAACATGGACTATGTGAGAGAAATGAAGCTGGAAATAAAATTATGAAATTCTGCACATTCAATTATGTCCTCATTGCAAATACCTTTTATAAGAAACACAAACACAGGATAAGTACATGGATTTCACATGATGGTATGCATAGGAATCAAACTGACTACAACTGTGCAAAGACTCATTGGAGAAGTTCAGTATCAGCTGTGAAAACTAGGCCAGGTGTTGATTGTGGAGCAGACTACTCATATGCAAGTTCAAGCTAAAGTTGAAGAAAATTAAATCAAATCTACAGGAACCAAAATTTGACCTTAAGTCTATCCCATATGAATTTTAAAACCATCTCAGGAACAGGTTTGAGGACTTGAACACCAGTGAGTAAAGACAAAATGAGCTGGAGAATATCATCCATGAAGACTGCAAAAGGGCATTACAATGGCAGAGGAGAAAGAAAAGACCAAGATTTATGTCAGATGAGACTCTGAATGTTGTACTAGAGTGCTGAGTAGCCAAAGCAAAGGTAAGAAATCAAGAAATTAAGGAACTGAACAGAAGATTTCAAAGGGAAGCTCAGGAAGTCAAAGTAAAGTATTATAATAAAATGTGCAAAGAGCTGGAGTTAAAAAATCAAAAAGGATGAACTCGCTCAGCATTTCTTAAGCTGAATGAACTGATAAACAAACTCAAGCCACAAGTGGCAATACTTAAGGATGCTTTGGGCAGAATATTAAATGATCCAAGAAGCATTAAAAGAAGATGGAAGGAGTATACAACGTCACTGTACCAGAAGGAATTGGCTGACACGGAAGAATTTCATGAAACAACATATAAGCAAGAATCTGTGGTGATAAAGGACGAAGTGCAAGCTGGTCTGAAAGAATTGGCAAAAAAAACAAGACTTTAGGAATTAACAGCATACCAATTGACATATTTGAACAAAAAGATGATACCCTGGATGCACAAAGTCATGCTAAGAAATCTGGAGGACAACTACCTGAACAATTGACTGGAAGACATCTATATCTATTCCCATGCCAAAGAAAGGTGACCTGACAGAATGAGGAAATTGTCAAAAAATATCATTAGTATCACATACGAATAATATTCTGCTGAAGATTATTTAAAAATGACTGGAGCAGCCCATCAACAGGAAGCTTCCAGATGTGCAGACTGGGTTTAGAAGAGACCCTGGTACTGGGGATATTATAGCTAATGTTAGATGGAAATTGGCTGAAAGAGACTACCAGAGAAACATCTATCTGTGTTTCATTGACTATGCAAAGGCATTTGACAGTATGGATCACAACAAACTGTGGGTGACTCTGTGAAGAACGGGAATCCCAGAACATTTGATTGTGCTTGTGTAAAACCGATACTTGGACCAAGAGGCAGTCATAAGAACAAAGCAAGGAGACTCTGCATGGTTCAAAATTGGGAAGGGTGTGTGTCAGGGATTTCTTCTGTCTTCATACCTTTTCAATCTATATGCAGAACAGATCATCTAAGAGGCTGGGCTTTATGAGGATAAATGTGGCATCAGGATTGGAGGAAGACTCATTAACAACCTGTGTTATGCAGATGACACAACCCTGCTTGCTGAAACTGAGGAGGAACCTGAAACACTTGCTGCAGAAGGTCAAGGACTGCAGCCTTCAATACAGATTGAAGCTCAACATTAAGAAAACAAGAATTCTCACCACTGGGCCAACTGGCAGTGGTGAAGAGATTGAGATTGTTAACAGTTTCAGTTTACTTGGCTCTACAGTCAACACTCTTCTTAGTACCAGCAGCCCAGAAATCAAAAGACTAATTGCACTGGGAAAGTCCGATGTCAGAGACTTCTTCAGAGTACTGAAGAGCATGTCAGTCTGGAAACTATGGTGTGTCTAATTCAGGCCATATTCCTTGCAATTGCTTGCTATGCTTCAGAGAGCTAGGCAATGACTAAGGATGATGGAAAGAGAGTTGACACCTTTGAATTGTGGTGCTGGAGAAGAGTTTTGAATATACCATGGATTGCCTGGAGAACAAACAGCTTCGCCCAAGAGAAGGTGAAGCCAGCCTGCTCCTTGAAGGCAAGGATTCTGAGGCTTCATCTGACATACTATGGGCATGTTGCAAGGAGGAACCGGTCTTTGGAGAGGGATAGCATGCTCGGAAGGGTGGAAAGACGGAGAAAGAGGAGACTATCAATGAGATTGATTGATGCAGTGAGTGGGGTGTCGAGGGTAGGTGTGTCAGAGACAGTAAAGTTGGCACAATATAGGGCAGGTTTCAGGGCTGTTGTAAATAGGGTAGGTATAAGTCGCAAGCAACTCAAGGGCACATAACAACAGTCCAACGAAGGTGACCAACTCATGTCAATGAACTGCAAACTGGCTTCAAAATGTAAAGTTTTATAGTTCAACATCACCTTTGTTGTTGCTGTTGTTATATGCCATCGAGTTGCATGCGACTCATAGTGAACCTATGCACAACAGCTCTAAACTCTGCCCTAATCCTGAGTCAGTCTCACTGACTCAAACACACCATCCCCCACTACCCCAGTTACTGTGTCAATCCCTCTCTTTTGGGGCCTTCCTCTCCAGCGCTGTCCCTTCAGCCTTTCAAGCACAATGTCCTTCTCCAAGGACTGACTGGTCCCTCCTCCTGGCCACTTGCCCGAAGTATGTGAGACGGAGCTTCAAAATCCTTGCCTCCAGAGGCAACTTGATTTCACCCTTTCCCATACTAAGTATTAGTTGACCTGTCACCCTAATTCCTCTGCACCATGACTACGTTTCCCGGTGAGCAGCGCGCCCGCGCCTCTCCGGCCTCAAGACTACAAGTCCCAGGATGCTGTCTTTCGCTTACGCAGTCTTGGATTGAAAAACTGGAAGTCTGTACGCATTGACATCACCGCGACGCCTCTTATCGTGCACCTGGTTTGCTGAGGTCCATTGGCAGCAATTGGTGACTAGGGGAGTGTCTTATTTTTTTTTTTAAGTAGCTCTTGAGTTTCGCTTGGTGCGCGCGGAACCTGGTAAGAGCCGCCAATCTCAGCTCTTTTCCGAGTTTGCAGTTTCGCGGTCTAAGATGGACAAAGTCTGTGCCGTATTTGGAGGCTCCCGGGGCATTGGCAGGGCGGTGGCTCAGTTACTGGCCCAGAAAGGCTACCGACTGGCGATTATTGCCAGGAATATGGAAGTGGCCAAAGCTGCCGCCGGGGATCTCGGCGGTAGGTACCAAACTGGAATTGTCCATTTGTGTAACTTCGGTCTAGGCACGTTAATTCTTTTCTTCTGTCACCGAGCGAGTCTGACCTTCATGGTCCTAAAGTTTAGCTGTTACACTTCGCGGAGACAGCGCCAAATGTGGATTGCAGAAGTCCCTGTAGCACCTGCTCTATTTTTGGTAGAAAGCCTCTTGTCGCCTTGTCTGTGAACGAAGACTAAACACTAGGGACTTTTTTTTTTTTAAGTTGAGTGTTCACAGTTTTTAGGAGGCGTATTAATATGTACACACCTACGAGAAAAGCTGCTTTGTTTGGACATCTGTTAGGAGCAAATGACACAGCAGTTAATTTTATGTAGGGAAAAGGGCGCATCCTTGGCGCGAGATCTCTAGCGCCAGGGAGACAAGCTGGGCAGGTGAGAAAGGGAAGTAGGACACAAAAGAATTTGCTTCTGTTTTGCCAGAGGGCTGTTGCTCCTGTGAAGATGCACAAAACATTGTTTCAAAGAGAAATCCTTTTCAGTGTTTCATTGGCTAGACTGGTTCTACTACATCCACTGTTGTGTACCATAGAGGAACTGACCCATAGCCGACCCTCTGGAGGGTTTTCAGTGACAATTAATTGCGCTGGAGGAGATGGCCCATACTTCCCCCTTGGAACAACTGGTGGTCTTGAGCAGCTAGTCTTAGTGATTGCAGCACAGCTTCTGGCCACTAGGCCACTTCTTTTAATCAATTTTGCAAATATGCAGTTGAAAATTTGTTCTACCACTTTCCTTTTTATTACATTTAAACCCAGTTATTTCCTGCTTACTAATAAAGGGTTGCTTTGTATGTTTTGGGAATTTTAAGATGATAGAAATAAGACGTTTAAAAGATAAGAATCAGGTTAGTGATGCCCTTCACTTGCCTACCAGAAATAATACAGAACACATCTTGTAGCTAACTGTAACCTTTATCGGTTACATAAATATTTATAGAATGCTTCTTGTAGCATTACTGATTAGTTTGGTGTCACTTACTCAGCCTGATCATTTACTCTACTTGAAAGGATACTTACAAAAGTAAGTTATAAACCAAGAGGAATTTCAGTGAATGCTTTATGCTGTTTTCATTGTTGCCCATTGCAGTGTTGAAAGAGGGGAGGAATGATTATTAAGTTGGGTAGAGTCGATTCAGTTTCAGACTCTTCTTGGTAGGTTCTATTGAGTCAAAGCTATAGATGTTATTACAAGACTGAAGAAGAACGCCTCTTCCTCTTGCTTTTAGTTGAAAGGTTTCGAGATTAACTTCTTTAGTGTTATTTTATTTATTCTTCTCCTGGCCATCCCGGTTTGCTTTTGCTTAAACGGAATTTTGTGAGGATAGGAACCCATAACTTCCTCATCTTTTATCTTTGTGGTCTAGATTAGTATTTCCCGTGTGTGTGTGTGTGTGTGTGTGTGTGTGTGTGTGTGTGTGTGTAGTTGCTTAACAAATATATATTCAATAAATTATCAATTCTAGCAATAATTGATAAATAACCCTGTTTTAACATTGTCTATGTAGGTGATCACATGGCATTTAGCTGTGATGTGGCCAAAGAAGAAGATGTTCAAAATACTTTTGAAGAGATGGAGAAGCATTTAGGTCGAGTTAATTTTTTGGTAAATGCAGCTGGTATTAACAGGTTGGTCACCAATTTAAATAAATTTCTAGTGATGAGCGTGAATTAGTATACTAAAATAAGCTGTTTACTTCCCTTTGGAATGTAACTCTTATGTGTTTGTAAATGTCATCTGTCAATCTAGACACTGTTGTATTGATTTGTAACATTCAATCAATGTACCATTTGATCAATTTCAATATATTAAAATCACCACCTATGTTAAACTCTAGAACCTCTCTAGCACTCTAGAAGGTTTTCACAACTTCTCCCAGTTAATAATTTCTTGTACTGATGCCCTCAAACAGATTCTGACTCATGGCAACTCCATGTGTTTTAGAGTAAAAATGTGCTTCATAGGGTTTTAGGCTGTGGCCTACTGGAAACAAATCATCAAGACTTTCTTATGTTGTTAGGTATTGTAGAGTTGCTTTTCGGTGTACAACAGAGTGAGATATTACCTGATCTTGTACCATCTTCACACTCAGTCCAAGTCCATTGTTGTAGCCACTATGTCCATCCATCTCATTGAGGATTACTTCATTGACCCTCTACAGTATCAAGTGTGATGTCTTCATTGTGCTTGTAGGGACCGAGCCTTCAAGATAACATGTCCAAAGTACGGGAGATGGTGTCTCACTATCCTTGCTTCAAAGGAGCATTCTGGCAGTACTTCTCTAAGACAGATTTATTCATTCTTTTGGCAGTCAGTTCATGGTATGTTCAACACTCTTGGTAATACCATAATTCAAATGCATCAGTTCTTTGGTTTTTCTTATTCATTGTGCATGTGCCGAACTTTCATGTGCCTGTGAGGCCATTAAAAATACGTGGATTGGGTCTGATGCACCCTAGTTCTCAAGGTGACCTCTCTGCTTTATAATACCTTGGAGAGATCTTTTGCTGCAGATTTTCCTAATACAGTACGCTCTTGATTGTGTCTACCTCGGGCGTTGATTGTAGATCCAAGTGAAATGAAATCCTTGACAGCTTTACTCTTACACATTTATCAGGTTACTGTTTATTGGCTTAGTTGTTAAGATTTTTATTTTTTCTTATGCTTAAGGTAATATCCTTTGATCTTCATCATTAAGTACTTCAAGTCCTCTTTACTTTCAGTAAGCAAGGTTGTGCCATTTTTATGTCATGGGTTGTTATGTATTTTTCCAAGCCTGATGCTACATTTTTTCTTTATATAGCCCATTTTCTTGGGTTATTTGCTCAGGATACAGATTTCCTAAGTATAGTGAAAGGATACAAATCTGACATACTAATTTTCTGGTTTTTAACCATACAGTTTCTTGTTGTTCTGTTTGAACTGCTGTCTCCTGTCCTATGTGTAGGTTCCGCATGAACACCATTAACTCATTGACATCAAATCTGAACTAACTCATAGTTGACCCTCCAGGAGGTTTTAAATCACATGAAAGGAAATTGCTCATATTTCTCCTTAAGGGTATCTGGTGAATGTGAATCCCTAGGTTAACTGTGCAATTCCCTACCGGAAACCTATTAAATGTTTTAGAACCCCATTGCTTACAGTACTATCCATAATTTAGTGTGATCCCCACAGTCAAATGTGTTTGAATAGTCAATAAAACATAGGTAAACATCTCTCTGGTCTTCTCTGCCAAGATCCTTCTGATGTGAACACTGATATCCCTTGTTTCATGTCTTCTGAATCTGGCTTGAATTTCTGGTGGTTTCTTGTTCATATACTGCTGCAACCATTTTAAAATTGTCTTTAGCATAATTTTACTTGTGTGTGATCTTATTAATGTTGTTCAATAATTTCCTCATTCTTATGAATATTGTTCAAATATTTCCTCACTCTTAGAATGAACACATATATAAAAGGCTGAGTAACACCCTTCTAAATTTCTCAGTAAAAGCAATGAATGCTTGCAGTTTTGAATCTACTGGTTGAAACATCTCAGTTGGGATTCCATTAATTCCTGAAGCCTTGTTTTTCACAAGAGCATTTATAGTAGCTTGGCTTCTTCTTTTAATGCTTTTGGTTGGTAATTGTATACTACCTCCTGGTAGAATCTAGAACTCTTCATTGTGGTCTAGGTATTGTATATTCCTTCTATATTCTCTTGATGCTTCTTGTGTCATTCAGTAGTTTATTCATAATTCTTCAACATTGCAATTTGTACTTTATGTATATTTTTTTCCTTTGAATCTATCCGCTTTAGAAATGCTGAACATGTTTTCTTTTTGTTTTAATTTTTGTGACAACAGATCTTTGCTCATTTCATTACAATGCCTTGCTTTCTTCAGCAGTCTTCTGAAATCTTCTGTTCAGTTCTTTTAATTAATCATTTCTCCTGTTTTCTTTTGCTATTCACATTTAAGAACGAGTTTCAGGGTTTCTTCTGACATCTGTTTGTTTTTTTCTTTCTTCTCTTTTGCTTTCTTCAGATATGGTGTTCCTATGAACAATTAGTGGTCCGTTCTGCAGTAAACCCGTGACCTTTTTCTGATTGGTGATATAAGGCGTCTTTAAAGTTTCTTTTGAGAGTTGTAATCAATTTGGATACTGTGTGGTAATAATTATCTGGTAATAATTATACAATGTATAATTGCCACTTATATTGTTGACAAAATATATTTGCAATAATAAGTTTTTGATCTTGAGAAATTTTACCATGACATTTCCAGGATCATTTCTCTCACTTGGGCTGTATTTTCCATCTATATCCTTCTTGCTTCTAACTTTTGCATTCTAATCACCAGTAACTAAGTACATCTTGATTGAACGTCTCATCAATTTCAAATGTAAAAGTTGGTGAAAAAAAAGTTGGTGTAAAAGTTTGTCTTTGACATTAGTGGTTGATGCATAAATTTGCATAGTAGACTTATTAACTGGTCCTCCTTGTTAATAATATCCTGTCACTGATATTAGAATAGATTGTATTTTAGAATAGATCTTAAAATGTATTCTAAATTTTATACACTTTTCTGATTTCTGTCATCATAAGTAAGCTTTGAACATCATACGTGTAGAATCATAGAATACATATACCATTTAACAATTAACTTATGTTAGGCAAATCAGAATGACATATTGGTTCCTTATTAAATAAGATATCATATTAAAACAGTTAAATATTACTGATATTTTTCAAGCTGTTTTGTCTACTTGACACTACTTTTAGCAGTAAGGAATATTTGTCACACTAACCAGAGCCAAAGAAGAAGAAATAGATGATTTCTACCAACTCTTACAGGCAGAGATAGATCGAATATGCAGTCAAGATGCATTGATAATAATGGGCGACTGGAACGCAAAAGTTGGGAACAGGGAAGAAGAATCAGTAGTTGGAAAATATGGACTTGGTGACAGAAATGAAGCTGGAGATAGAATGATTGAATTTTGCACAATCAATGACTTATTCATTGCAAATATGGTTTTTAAGAGACATAAACGTAGAT